TCAGCAAAGAAAATGGGTGGAAAGTGGCGTTTCACCCACAGTCTCCGGGGCCAATCTACACGAGAATCCACAGATCCTCGGAGAAGAGAAGGGATGATGGCTAGTCTGGCTCTGCAGCCAGCAAGGCAGCACAGAGGCAGGACCCCTGCGGTGGGAGCTCAGGGTCTCCCACACACCCAGGCTGACCACCCTGCCTCGTGGCTGTGGGTCCTACCCGACTCCCACGCTCTCTGCAGGTTGGGACTCTGTGGTCCACCCTGCAGACTCTTCCGCAAGACCAGGAGGGTTCCAAGTGCCCTTGGCGGCACATCACAGCCTGTGGTCCTCACCATGTCCACGCAGCCCATCCCTGGCTCCTTGGGGGTCTCTAACTGACCACCAACGTTCTCCATGTTTCTTGGTCAAGGTGGAGAGAGCGGGACTTATTCCCTGCCCTAAGCACTTGCCCCATAGGGATAGATGTGATCTGTCCAGTGGGGCAACAGAGGACAAGCTTCTGCATTTTTCTCTATGGGAGACCCTTCTTTACACAGGGGTGGGGTGTGGCAGACTCTGACCAGTCCAGCAAGGCATGGGTTTTAACACCTAAAGTTGTACGGGGACACAGCCACGCCCGTCTGTCTGTCCACATATCATCTGTGGCTCCTCGAGGCTCCTTCCCAGACTTGAGTGGCTGCAGCAGAGACTACACGACCCAGCAGCCTCACATCTTTACTCTCTGACTCTTCAAGAAGACACGTGCCACCCCCTGCTTCAGACCGATTAGTGGGTAAAACAGTGACTGTTTCCAGACCGCCTATGCAGAGAAGTCAACAAGGTTTGTGGGAGACAGAAGTCAACTTTGAGAGGGTTCGGCCTAACCATCCTGGTCCATTCACCACACGTGTGTTGAAGAAATGCCAGCAGCAGGGTCTGTTTGGGAGGGGACGGGACCCAATTCTCTCACTGCTCTGGAAGCTCAGAGGACCGTATTCCACTGTCTCAGGCAAAATGTGGGTAGGAAGGTCTCCCCAAAACCCGAGAATGACAGACTGGGAAAGCTGGGCCCCCACTAGGAGTGGCTGTGCTGTCTCACCGGCTTTCTCCAGGCTCGAGGGGGTCACTCGGTCTGGCAGCCACATTACACAGGGCCTGGAGCCCCCCACGGTCAACATGCTGATAGGTCCCTCCTGCTCAGCTGGGCTTCCCTGAACAGCACTGACCACAGAGCTGAGGTCCTGAGGGCACAGGGGACTGTCCTCTTCTTACCACCTTTCTCTCCTCTGACTTTAACTCTTCCACATCCCCACCCCAGGCTCAATGAAGGACAAAACACACTTGTGAGACCCAGCAGGCCACAACCCCTCACTCTGGCCCTGTGTCTCAGGTTTGAAAGGCAAGAGGGAGGGTCACCCAGTCACTGTCAAATCCCCAAACTCCACAACGCAACAGACTCTTCAGCCTTTCCCTTTAGCCAGCCCCACGGTGCTGTGCAGACCAGCCTGGGCGCTTGTCCTCAGGGAACCCTGTCTCTTCCATGCTCTGCTGATTGCCAAGCTATACCCTGACCTGACCATTCCATGAGAATTTCTCTGTCTAGACACAAAGCTTGTCTGCCTCACCTTTGTGAGGGGAACGCCAGTGCTGCTCCCCAACCCCACGCCAATTTAAATATTCAGGTGAAGCCTGCCCCATTCATAAAACCAAGATCACATCTGCCAGGGCACTGGAGAGCCATTATACACAGAAGAAAGAATAAAGAAACACAAGCCACGCCTGGAGGCTGGATGTCACCTCGAGAAAGGGAGGCTCAGATTAGAGTGAGATTTTATGGCACAAGATCAGACCCACAGCTGGACCTTTCCCACTCCAGAGGGAACAATGCAAGTCCTCCAGCGTAATCCAGGACGGCCCAATCTCTTCCTCACCATGCCTGTGACGGGCTGGCGTGCTGTCCTCTGTGGAAGGAACTTTAGGTTGCGCACGCCCAAGCTCTCAACACTGGCACGTGTGATGCACCACTCTCTACCCAACTGGGCAGGGCCAGCCTCAGCCCCGGTGGGCTCTTTCTTCTGCCTCAGAATCATAAATGCATTGGCCGAGAACCAGCACGTCAGTCGGGACCCTGAGTCTATGATACAAAGGAATTTAGGGCTAGAATTTTAAAAGTTAGGGACCAGGCACGCAGAAATCAGGGCAGCACCTGAGAATACCGCCTACAACGTGAGTGATCACCCACAGACTTAGGGGGAGACCCCAGCCTCTCCACTCTCGTCAGAGGAGCTGCTGACATCTGTCGAGCGTCTGCCGGGTTTCAACAAGGATTTCTGATGCTTCTTCAAATACTCATATACCCCATAAGAATAGAGTTCTTCCAGAGGAAACAGAAGGACATTAGCTCTTCCAACAAACCTCCTGACAGGGTCATCACAGTGGGGACTGGGATTTTCTAACCAGACAAAATAAGACCCCAAACTCTGAGATGAGAAGTATAGGAATAATACTTTGGTTTGGCAAAGCCCAGCTTCTTAAGGAGAAACAGCGATCAACCTGGGAGACCAGTTTAGAAACCATGTCTACTTCGAGTGGAGCAGTGAAAGGGACACACACTGGGAATATTTCACCCCCTGGGTCAGTGTGACTTCTGCCCTCGCAAAGGGAGCCGGTGGGGGGTTGAACTCACAACTTTCATGTGTGCTACTTGTGATTCTAACAAGAGAGTAAACAGGACTATTAAAAAAAAGAAGAAGATGAGAAGAGGATTGTAGGAGACCCGGACAGGATGAGACCCATCCTACAGGCAGGTGGGCAGTGCCCCCACCCCTTACCCCAAGCAAATGTAAAGCCAGGGCAGGCCCTCTCCTGCCTGCTTCCACACTAAAGTCAGAGGGTGTGGAACAAGTACGGCCAAATGAAACGCACAACCCCCACTCTCTAAAAATAGGCCAGAGTTGCTTTAGGCATCTTACCACGAATGGAAGGGGAGACTGAGGGACCCGAACCTTCTGCTGGGGAAACAACCAGGATGCCGTCCAGCCTGGCTGGCCGGACCTTGCACTCCAGGGCTCCTGCCTGGTGTCTGAACGGTTGATCCCAGCGAGTTTTCTGCACATACCCTAGAAATGTCAGGCAGTGTTGTGAACTGCTGTTTAGGGAAAGGGTGAGAAGCGGCTAAGAGCAGGGAGCTAAGAGGGAAAGGGTTCCGGAGCCCCAGCCAGCGCCTGATGTTACCTTCCCATCCACCCTGGTGTAAAGGACACAACTGGGCCGGCCTCCTTGAGGCAGGCAGCCCTCCTTCAGCACTGATAGGAAGATGGGAATGTTAATATGAGCTCATTTCAATAATAATGAGCTTCTGAACATGCCAGGTTTTGATCTTTTCTGATGCATGGATTCCTGGCAAGAACTACGGTCCTATGTAGGTAGTTGAAAGAACTGGAAATAGACTATAAAAAATTAAAAAAAAAGACAAACTCTAAACAACGATAAAAAAGAAACCACCCCCGACCGCAAACTTAAAATGAGGACGGAAAAAAAAATAAACAGAAGACTTAAACATTGCTCCCCCAGAAGAAAAGGGGACATAAAACCCGTCTCTTCTTCTTTTAAATATTGTTTTTAACAGCTTCAAAAGTAATGAGTTGTGGGTGGCTAAAAATAGATTCGGGGGTAGTGGCTAATGGGGCCTTGTGAGTCATTCGGCATAGGGAACTGTCAATATTTTTTTTTTTTTTTGAGCTGTCAAGAATCCATTTAGTGATTTTTGACAATTTAAAAAATATTTCTGACTGCTTGATCCAGTTCTTAGGGAATTAGGGAAAGAGAAGTACATCAATCTCGGCAATGAACCCGGAGTCTGGCTTCCTGAATCTTGCCCTGTGCTAACAGGAACATTAGGACGTGGAGGGGCAGAAACAGTCCCCTCCGCCGGCCCCCTGGGCCCCCTTCCGTCTATCAGCAGGCAAAGTAAAATTACAGAAATCCATTCATAAATTGGAGACGGAAAGGTATGGTGGTCATTTGTCCACAGTAGGGGAGACTTGGGCCCATTTCAAAGGGAATAATAAACCAAGCTGTCCTTTGGAGAAAGGTTTTCTGATATGAATATCTGGGTATCACGAGAAGAACTTGCATCCTTCCTGCCTGCCCCAGCATTCATTCTCTCTAACTGGAGGCTTCAAATTCCTGATGACATTTCAAAATCTAGAATGGCTTTGGGGTAACCATTTTCCTTACGGAGATAAACAGGGGCCAGGGTGCTACAGGGTCAGACACGCATAAACCCAAGACACAACACAGGGTCACAACAGCGCTAATCAGAGACTTCACAGTGCACATTTCTTGTTAGAACGACAGACAGACAGGTGAACAGGAGACGGACAGGAGGCAACAGATGGCTGAAGTCACGGTCACTGCCATTTGGTTTGTCTAAAGATGAACCACAAACAGCCCGACACTGTCTCCCCATGTGGAGAGAGGGTTGCTTTATTCCTAGACTGTGGTTAGTGTGATATGATTTTAGCATCCTCTAAAGTCAATAAAAAGAAAAGTTTAAGGAAGCAGATTTGGCTTAGCAAAGCAGTAAGGAACCGTATTTAGGTATCTTTTGCGTAAGGTGAAAAGACTGAAAAGTTTGCAAGTTACCATGTCTCTTTTTTTGTTTGTTTTTGGTCTTATTCCTGCCTCCCCCCCACCCCACCCTCCTTGCAGTTATGGGAGAGCAAATGGGAGCAGTTCCCATGGAGAGACACCACCCCCTTTCCACGCCTTCTGGGCAGGCATTTTAGAGCATTGTAATGCAAACTGCATACACAAAAGTCTCAAACTTCTAAATGAAATCGACTTTTATGATTGTCTACATTGCATATACATACAGCACTGGGTTTGGCTGGTTGGTTTTTAAATATTGAGTTTCAAAATTCGCTAACGGATAAAGTCTACCCCATTTTTTTTTTTAAATGCACAATTTAGTACTGATGTTTTTGGGAAATGAACTATAGGAAGAGGATTCTAAAACTTACCACACAAGTCTGGCCTCTTGATACATCCAGAATTTGCCGTGCTACTGGCGAGTCCATTAAAGGCTGCTAAGCCATCAGAGCTGTAGGCCCTGAGGACCGACAGCATGTTCACCGGCTTCTCCAGGCCCGGGGGCCCCCGCTCTGGCTTTGGCAGGCCTGCTGAGGGGTCCTGGGCTGGAAGAAGGCCTGGGCTCGTGTGCCACTGCTTCTCGGACGCTTGGGGCAAAGGTGAGACCAGTCCCTGGACGGGCTGGGGGGCGCCCGTGGGCAGCAGGCTGTCCCCGCCGTCGCTGCTGCTGTCCTTGCCGAGGGCAGACAGTGGTTTGCTCATCATTTCCGGTTCAGTGTCAACATCCTCTTCCTCGTTGTTCTCTCCCTTGGAGGAGTCCATGTCCTCGGAGGAGGCGATATCGGAGAGGTCGTCGGCAGCACTCTTACTAGTGGCTTCGGGGATCAGGATGGGGGCGTCGTCTTCAGAGTGGACCTTCCCGTCCGGCTCCTTGTTGGGGCAGGAGCTGGAGGCTCCGGAGCCAACCACGCCCGGGTAGACCCCAAACTGCTTGTAGAAGTCTGATGGGAAGTTACAAAAGGCAGGGTCCACGTGGCTGGGCCACGAGCCGCCCCTCTGTTCCCCCAGTGTCTCTTTCATCTGTCCTTGGGCCATCTTCTCAGAAGCAGAGTCCAGAGAGCCGATCACAGCAGAAAGGCCCAGCTCTTTGTTGGACTGCACCGAAGGCAGCAGCGATATCTTCCCCACCTCCCGGCCTGGGTCTTTGCAGTTGACCGTCCCCGCCGCGGTGTTATCTTTGCGTTTCGCTTTGCCCAGGTGGTTGGCCTGGAGATGCAAGGCCATCAGCTCCATCGAGGATGTCGTGAAAGCGCAGAACAGGCAGCCGTGCCACGCGATGCTGTCCTGCATGGTCACCGAGGAGCCTGGGAGGGAGGCGGCATCTGGCCGCACAGACAGGTCCAGGGGCTCGTACTGGGATTTCTCCGACTTCCTCTGGGAGGACTTACCGCTGGGTTTCTCCTCGCCCCCGTCCGCCCCGTGGACTTTCATGGAAGGGGGGTCAGGCAGGGCTTTGTCCTTCATGTCCTTGTCCTTCTTCAAGGAGCCGAGGACAAAGCTGTCCATGAAAGCCTGCAAGGAGCCTTGGAAGTTGACACCGTTGCCCACGATGCTCTGATAAGCTCTTCCAATCTCGGAGAAGTGAGAGCTTTTGGAGGGAAGGTCAGCTCCTTTCAGTGCGTCTGCTGGAGCCTCTGCAGACATGCCGGTGGCCTGGCCCGAGTGATCTCCAGATGACAGTGCTCCTGATGCCCACTGCTGGGAGGCAGGGCCGCCTCTGAAGTCGATCCCGGGGAGACCCTTAAAGGCCCCCCTTAGGATGTCTGGCCTGATAAACAAAGAAGCTTTGCTGGACATCTCATCCTTGTGGTCTTGGCTGGGGGGCTGTCCAGACAGGGGCCCCGCTCCATTCTGCCGCTCCCGATGGTGTCGCTCTAAGTGGTATTTCAAGGACGCTGACTGGGTGCCGGCGTAGTCACAGTGCGGACACTTGTACGGTTTCTCACCTGCAAGATTTCAGTACGAGAAAAGAAAAAAAAAGAGTGTTTATCTCATTTTGGTGTGATGAGCAAGGCTAGAAGGATCAACATTTGTTCTTTGAAACAAAGCCGCTCAAACTAATAATTAGTTAGAGAACAACTGTTTTTTAATAGAAGAATAATTCGTACTCTTAAGCTTTTTTAATGATTTTGTACCATTTGGGACTATTCAGGAATGACATACTATCTACACACAATTAGCTATCTTTTTCTTTATCTAACATGTGAGAACGGCTGTAGATTTAAAAGCTATGATTATGAAAATTAAGCATAATAATTTCAACCACAGTGATCATTAAAAGTAGAAGTTTAAAAAGACCAAGTATGTAACAAATGGGTGGTTGCAATATTTTGTGTATACAATAGCTCTGAAATTTGTTTAAATTATACACATGGAAACCATTTTTAAACCTAAAAATTTTATGGCACTGTTACGCAAGACTGAAATGAATGATTTAAGTCTTGCTCTGCAGTAAATCATGGATATAATTAGCAAATGGCATACTGCACGAGTAATTTATCATTATTTGGAGGGCACCATTCCAGACAGGCTCAGATATCTGCAGACCCACGGCATTGTTTCTAAATAAAGGACCATAAATACCGATTCTATAAAATATTAATACCATTACCGTGCATTATGATTGCAGCATGTAAAGACATATAGTTAAGATAAAAAGCAGTCAATAAAACTTAAAAAGAAAATGAGTAATAAAAAGGCACAAAATATATTTAGTTTCTGTATTTGAAATTAACATTATCTACTGGCCTTTGTAGTGCCTTAAATTTGTACTAATGGCAAACCTAACACTCCGGTAGTAAAATGTGTAATTTACCTATAATAAGCGCTTTCTAGAGAATAAAAATAGCTTTAAAGAGTGTTTTAAAACATATAAGATAATTTTCGCGAATTAAATATTTATTTAAATTCAACACCCGGCTCCCATTGTTCTTTCCGTGGTGGGAAAGATCGCATAACAGGCCGCGTACATCTGCCAGTGTCGTGGAATAGAGGAGGGGGACGAGGAGAAGGTAAAGAGACGTGGGTTTAAATATATCCCAGGCATTTGTTAGCAGGCCCGAGTCTTTGCTAGATTTTGTCAGCTAAAGGCTGTCTGGAAGGAATGGCGCTGTGGCCGTCCACGTCAGCTTATTCACAGTAGTGCCCTAATACCCACAATAATACCCACGGTCACCTCTCCCAGGAACCTCACTCAAGCAGCCCCCGCCCCTTACCTCTGGTCTCTTGTAAAATAGACTGGCCTAAAAAGTAACAGCAAACCAGAGGTGAGGGGCACATTCTGTAGACATTTCAGTGTGCCTAGTCTCAGACGATGGCATGACTCCCCATCCTTCAAGCCCAGGGCATCTGGGGACCTGGACTTTGTAAGCAAGAGGGCCATAAAGCAGGCTCTGAGCAGGAGACTCCATGGATGGGCGTGCTATGCTTTGCCTGCCTTTCTGAATGAGAGGGCCAAGTGCCCCTCAGTTCATGCCTTTGAGCAGCTGAGATCTCCCTTTCTCCAGAGATGGCCTTTAGGTCTGGGGAGGGAACACGGCTGGGGCTCTACTTCTCTCAAGGTAAAGGTCGCAGTCAGCTCTGCCTAGAACAATGACTTGGAAATAGTGACCTATCACTTTTGAGGTAAAGGTACAAATAGTTTCGGGTACCATTCTCCTACTATTTTTTTTTTTTTTTTCCTATGAGACAGAGTCTCACTCTGTTCCCCGGATAGAATGCCCTGGTGACATCATAGCTCACAGCAACCTCAAACTCCTGGGATCAAGTGATCCTCTCTCCTTAGCTTCCCAAGAAACTAGGACTACAGGTGCCTACCACAACACCTGGCTAGTTTTTCTATTTTTAGTAGAGATGGGATCTCACTCTTGCTCAGGCTTATCTCAAACTCCTGAGCTCACACAATGCATCGGCTGCAGCCTCCCAGCGTGCTGGGATTGTAGGTGTGAGCCACCGCGCCCGGCCTCATTCTCTAACTTCTTGGACTTGATCCCTGTGCTGGACATGCTCACTCAGCTGCTGCTAGGACATCCCTCTGCATTCCAGGTAACCACTACTCAGAAGGGGCACGTCTAGGCCACTGCACGGCACTGCTGATTCAGCTTACCCGGAACCCCAGTGCCAGGGCGGCAGAGGCAGGCCCTGAAAGCTAGTGGCAGGGCACAAGGCAGGAAGGCTGACTATAAACTTGGCCTTCTGGCCCATGAGTTTGTGGAACCCTGTGGTACCCAGGGAGAGAGCCTGCAGAAAGGGGGCCCGCAGGTACTGGGTGAGACTCAGGTTGCACTTCAGAAACGCACCTGGAAATGATTAAATGTGCATCTGGCAAAGGGATCAGAGAGACAGCCTGGGTATTTGTTAGCAGGAGCTAAAGAGAAGAGTCTGGACTGTTACCTCCAGGCAGAGGGGTGCAGTGGGGGGGTGGTGGCCTTTCTTGGCGGGGAGCTGCAGGGATGCACAGATGTGTGTGTGTATTTCTAAGGGGACGCAGGTCAGAGACTCCAAGCACCGTGGCAGTGAGAGGACTACACTGTGCATTAGAACCAGCAGGGGAGTTTGTTCAGACACCAGTCTGGGGCCCTAACGCAAAGCCGTTCTGATTCCCCAGGTCTGAGGTCAGAGGCAGAAGTTGGTATTGTTAAGAATATCCCCAGCGATTCTGACACAGATAGCATAATAAAGACCACACTTTGTAAAACCAACCTGGCCCTTCCTGGGGAGCTTTAAACAGTATTCATACCTGGTCCCACCTCCCTAAATTCTGAGTTCACCGAGGCAGAGCTGCACATTGAGTTTTGAGATTCCCCCAGGTGCCCCTAAGTGGAGCCTGGGTGGGGGACCAAAACCCTAGGAAGTGCCCTTTAAGGTGGAGACCACAGATGGCTTAGTGGAGAAGATTTTCTAGATGCCAGGAGAAGACTTTCTAGACGCCAGAAGACTTTCTAGATGCAGGCAGGTGCTGGGAGAGTCTGAGCTGGGGGATGGACACTCCCTGCTACTTTGCTCTCCACTGAACACACCAAGGCTGCCTTGGGGCTTTGGCTTCCTCGACCTGTGATGAGACATGTTAAAACACTCTACACTCATGTGAAGAGCTAAGCTAAGTGTCTGGCATGGGGCCAGAGGGACGTGGATTACACATGCGTGAACCACGCCCAGAAACATGCAGATTTTTTTTTTTTTTTTTGAGAGAGTCTCACTTTATCATCCTCAGTAGAGTGGTAGAGTGAGGTGGCATCACAGTTCACAGCAACTTCCAACTCCTGGGCTTAGGCAATTCTGTTGCCTCAGCCTCCTGAGTAGCTGGAACTACAGGCGCCTACCACAATGCCTGGCTATTTTTTTGTTGAAGTTTTGACCAGGCCGATTCAAACCTACCACCCTTGGTATAGGGGCTAGCACCCTACTCACTGAGCCACAGGTGCCACTCGAAACATGCAAATTTATTTACACACACAGAGTTTGATCGCATGGACCGATGGGTGAGTGAGCAGCTCCTGACTGCCCAGCAGTGTTCTCCACACTAGGAACAGGACGAAGCTCCAGAGAGGCAGGCCCTCTGCTGTCATGACTTTTGGAAGAAACATCTTGTACAGAAATACAGGCAAGATTGACACACACGAGCTCATGTGCACATCACAGCCTGCAGGAGGACAGCACCCTCCACTCAATCCACCTGGCTTTAAGCTTAGAAACCGGCCATGGCCCCCACTGCTCCAGAGAAAGTAAGGCCACAGCTGAGAAGCACAACCAGTTACTTCCTAGCTTTGGAGACACCAAGGACTTGAGCCTGGTGAATCAGTAGCCCCTGGGTGAGTTTTGAGGGGTGGTTCTGCTTGCAGGTATGAGCCCCGACTCTGGAGAGCTCACAGCCCCTTCTCCACCCTCGTCACTGTCCATCCTGCCTCCTGCCTGCTTGCTAAAGGGCTGTGTTTGGGCAGCTGCTTCCTATCACCCCACTTCCCTGCGTAAATGCTCCAGAGTGATCTTCCATGGGACGATCTCATCCCGTTTGGGTCTGTGTTTGAAAAAACAAACAATTCTAACTTCTTTATTAACCATGAATAGTTTGGATAACCACCAGTGCCCTCTGTCTTGAAGGCTGTGTTTCCCTTTTCTGGACTTCCTCTCCAACAAGGGGGCATAGACCTGGCCCCCGCCAGGGTGTGTTTCTGGCGAGGCACACACTGGGGACGGGAGCCATGTGGGGTGAGCCTACCCCTCTGGGAATCCCGAGTAGCCCACAGGCTCCATGCTCCGATGGAAGCATCCCAGCTGTTCTCACGCATTCTTTCCCCAAAGGGCACATCTCAAAGTGCTCAGAAGGCAAACTTCTCACAACAGTGGCCTAGATGGGCTGGGTGACAGTGAGGAAGAGAGATCTATCAGCAAATTTAACAGCCCAAGGGGCGGTCAAGGCTTGTCTTCTGATTGGCCAGCACAGACAAGTGCTGAGCCCACCCCATCTGGGCACACTCTTCAACCCACGACTCTAGCAAATCCTAAGCTCCAGGGCATGGCCACACCTCTGCCAGGGAGCGGGGCTGGGGCAGGGGAGAGGGGCTGCCTAGTCCCCAAGAAGACGCCCTCTCTGCCCAAGATGAGGCCAAGCATTTCTCAGGCAGCCTTGTGGCACAGGCAACCCCGGCCTCCGCCAGCAGCTCTGTCCACTTGAATGATTGGCTGCTTAGGCCACAAAGGAACCTGGAGCTCCTGATGGGATCCCTGAGCTTCCCACAGGATCATGGGTCCAGGCACCTCCGCCATGTTTGGGATTTGCTGTATCTCTGCCTGCCTATTGTAGTGGCCACACAGGTCCAAGCCTTCAGAGCCAGGTAGATCTCAGAGCCAGTAAAACCGCAAGGTTGGGGGCAAATGCCTCTCCTAGGGGGGCAGCACCACCCAACTCTAATCACCACTGGAACCTCAGACTTCCACATGTATAATC